CTTTAGGAATTCTTGCCATCATGGAGGAAAGGCAGGACCAGAAATTGCTACACTGGCACCTTTCTGATGTGCACTTAATTCACAAGTGCTTCCTTTTCTTCATAATGTGGAACAAAGTGCAACTTACAACTTGATGGAGTCAGTAATGGGACACAGCAGAGTTTTTTTTAGCCTTCCCTAGAGCTTCAGATAGGATGTGGAAATTTTCTGTGGCAGGCCAGCTGCACAGAGCCAAACAGATTAGTTAGTGCTTATTCAGTGCCATTTGTGTCACCCAAATCTTCATGGCCTTGTAGAGCAGCAGGTGGACAATGTTTGGTTCTTCAAGTATTTTGGCCTACAGCTCCCATCATCCCATCCTATTTGTTTTGCAGACTTAGGCTGCTTGGAAGAGCAGGCCAAAACATCAGGAGAGCCCCAAGCTGCCCACTCCTGAACTGAATGCAAATCTCCCATGGGAGAGGGTGCTGAGTACTGCCATATTTGAAGGCACTGTTACTGTACATCCAATTCTTGCTTAGGCTATAGGTGCTATTTCAAAAGTGGGCACCATGTGCCCCAAGTAGACACAACAGCCTGCGGTTGTGTAGTGCTGCTGTTCCCAGGGAGACAGAGGTCATTTGTTGTCTACTTTCTTAACACATGCCATTTAGCAAGACACTCTCAGAAGGAACATACATCAGCCATACATTTAACAGTTTCTAAATTGGTATAAGTAGTTTTAGATTTCACCCATGGCAAAAAGCAGGAAACTGACAGTTCCCCAGTGGAAAGAGAAATCCTTAAAGGGAAATGTTTTTTAGAAAATATAGTCTGGTGGAGCATCTGCAAATTAGCAGCTGAACTAAAGCATGTTAATATCTAATAGATAATTAAGGTATCTCCCCAGACCTCCTGCAAATTACTATCCAGAGACAAATAAAAGGCAGGATATATGGGAAAATTTCAATGAGATGTGGCACTCATACAGAACACCCAATTTTCAAAGCAGTATTGATTATTATGTGAAGCATGATCATACACTGCAAAGTTATTTTTAATTGACATAATACTCTTTGAGAAATCCTTCATGGCACTTCTAAACAATGCCAAGAAGTCCGCAAACCTAATAGTGCTGTATATGCAATGAAGAGGCAGCAAAGGATCTTATTCATTACAAATTGCAGTATCCATTTTATGCAGGAATATGTTTTTTCCTAAAAATAAACTACCGTATTTTTCTGTCTATAAGACACCCCCATGTATAGGATGCCCCCCACTTTTCTTACCCAAAATTCAGAAATCAATATTTTAAACATTAAATAGAAGACATTTTTATTTAGTGATTAGGCAATGTTTACATAACAGTACTATGATATTATGCATCACATTTAACTCTGAGCAGAGCACTTTATTCAACCTCTTTTGCATCACTGGTGTCTTCTTCATCACATTTAGTTTCAGACATAGCAACTTCAAGTTTCTTCAACTTTTGTTGCATCACTGCTGTCTGCTGAGTCCCGCTCCCTGTCGCATCTGGCCACTGGCTACACGCTCTCCACAGCATCAGCTGACATCAGTTACATAAGGCTCACGATTGGAGGAAACCTGTTAGCTTGTCTCTGCAATCAGAAGTTTCGCTCATGAGGCTAGTTTGTAGAGATAAGTTATTGGCAGTTTCGCAGCCACGGTTCTCCTCTCGCCCCCCCCACCCCCCGTGTATAAGATGTCCCTCCATTTTTAGGTAAATATTTTAAAGAAAATTTATCGTCTTATACATGGAAAAATGCGGTAATCTATCCTCCGTTTATTGTGAAGTAATTTGGATTGCTGAAATGTGCTTACTATTGTCTGCCTAGTTACAAATAATGCATTCCCTCTTTGTAATGCAAAATGAGCTGAACACTATATGTAATCTTGTGCGTCTTCGAAGTTCTGTATCTTATCTGTGTTTTAAATAAAGTGTCTGACTGAATTGCTTCAGTCACCGTCCCTCTCCTACTGGTAGACCCTATGTAATTTTCCCATTAACTCCCTCCGCTGTCCCCTAACTTGACCTCTGCTTTTCTAAATTAGTTGCCTTCTCTGGCTCATCTTTCTTTCTGGCTCTCCACTTATTCTTACCTTGGGTTCCTTTGTATCCCACTGCCTGTTTGTCCATCACCTACCTTGAACTGCTCTGCTTTTGGCTCCCTACTTATTAGCATTGCTACTTAATGGACTCTGTTCAATGTCTTGGGACCTGAATGAATGGCTCTCTTCCTCTGCCAAGGTCCTTCGGGCTATTACTGACACGTGGACAGAGCAGCAGGAAAGAGGTGATGTTCTGCTGACTAGGGAAAGAGAGGTGGCAAGGCTGCCCTGCCCAACTGAGTGGCCTCGTACTGCCTGGCAGTCACAGGGAACTGTGTTTATTATTGTTTAGTTAAAATATTTCTACAGTGCTTTTCCTCTGGAAAGACTTTCAGTGTAGTTTATGTAAGATCAATAAGAGCAAGAATACTCCCTGCCTGCAGGCTTACAAGCTAAAAGGCATAACACAGATACAAAAACGGGATGGGATGAGGTGGACGAAAAGGAAGCTACAGCACTACTTCTTAAAGTTACATAATAGTTTTCATACTGGCCAGCTGGTTTGAGAACAGTTCAGGGAAGAGAGGAACCAAATCAGCCCAGTCTTTCAACAGAGCAGCTCAGAAGGCTGCTGTTCTCATACAGTCCACTGCTGTGGCCTGGTGGAAAGGTTTTTGCAGTTGAAAGAGAAGCCCGGTTGAGCAGTTCTCTTAAGAGTTGATGAAATGAATCTGTTTATCACCTCTGCTCCCTTTTTGCCTGAAAAGGACTTTTGAGGTCAGTGCATCTAATACTGTGTAGCATGTTAGGCTAGACAGTGAAATTTTGGCATCATGCCATGGATTTCATGGTAAGGCTATTAGAAAAATATATATTTCATTCTTTCAAAAGTTAGAATATTCATGTCCATTTCATGCTATCCCAGAAACTTGGTTGTTAGCAGATACTTCACATTAATAAATACCCTTACAATACATCCTATATATATTTCCTGAGAAGTTAGGCCCACTGATTGCAATAGGACTTAACGTGGGTGTAAGTGCTAACTGAACTGTGTCCTTAATTAATGGTTGTCCTTGCATATAGGTTATGTGGGATAACAAGCTTTTTGCATTCTTCAGTGCTACAATAACCTTTGAGCAACTGAATGCTCATTATCTGTTTCCCCAAAGATCAGCTAATAAAGTTCAACTATAGGATTTATAGTTTGACTTTATCCAAATCTATAAAACTTTAATTGACCAAAAGAACAAAAATGTAAATAAGGCCAACATAATTGCAATGCAAACAATATGGTCCTTGTTTACATTTCCTTTGATATGTATTAATGCAAAAAAACCAAAAACACAAAAACTCTGGCTACCATATTGACCTGTGCTTTTCCCCTCTTTGGTTGGGGCCCCCATGCTTAAAAGTGTATGGAAAAATATAGCACTGTTTTGCCTGTTCTGCTTTTGTTACCATTTTTAACTTCTTTACAAAGAAACTGTTAGTCTGGTTAGAATTGAGATTGCCAACTACTTACATGTCTTCTCTTTTTATGGCAGCAACAACACTCTGATGTTGAATCCCCTCATCCTTCCCTAGTGGTTCTTCAGGGTTGCCTGTCATGTGCTCGTGTCCATTGGCCACTATTACCAGATAAAGGGGCAAAGAAGTACAGCCCTGCCTCCATTTTCTTTTTTTCCTTTTGATCTTTCTTCACTGTCCCCCAGTTGCCTGCCGACCATAACGCTTGTGTGCCGCATTTAAGGAAGTGTGATGCAAGAAGTTCAGGCCCTTTGGGTTTGGATGAGAGAGCACTGGGGAGGTCTGGTGCTTCTTGTAATACCTGCTTGTTAGCAGATATGCAGGTTCAGTATTGCTTCCCCAGCTACCCTGCTTCTAACCAGGGTAGGGTAAAGACTGGGGCTAAAATAGATTAAACCAGATTCAACTGAGATCTCCCAAGGTATTGCTGGAGGAAGGTGTTTTAAAATTCTTGCATACTTTCTGCGTGAAGTTCTGCTGCTGCTTCCCCTACAAACTACTATGGCATGAGGAAACGGGAAAGAAAAAGCCTACCTCAGTCCTGATCTGTTGTGCTTTTAAAGTAAACAAGAAAGGGCTGTGCTGTTCTCTGCCACACATACATGCTGCAGTAGCCTGCTTTCAGTTCAGCCTGACTTGTTCATGTGCCATAACTGGCAGAAGTAGCTCCCAACATTAATGAGCCATTTAAGAAATTTCATCTGGACATGAGTGTCTATTTCTGGCAGGATGGTTCATGGAACTTGATCTCTAACTTTTTCTTGTTGACTGTTCTTGTTAGTTCTTTGACTGCAAGCTTTCTGTAAAGCATGGATTTTCACACCTTGATGTGACATTTGTAAAGGCAGCGCTTCTGCTTCCACTTACTTAGAGAACCTTCAGGCTATGGCAAACCATAGCAATTGAATTAAATAAATAAAAATAAATAAAATACTCCAGCTTCAAAGAAGTGAACATATCCTATGATCCCTGGCAATACCATCTATCTAACAAGACATGCCCTCCTTGTCTTCATTCCTTCCTTTGGGAACGAAATGCAAGCCATAGAAACTGTTTCAGTAGATCTTTTCGATATGAATCTGCAATTGCAATGCAGATTTTCCTGCAGGCCATAGATTGTGTATGTCCTTGTGTATTTCCTTTTCTTACCAATATACTGTTTTATCATACTACAACAAACTATTGGCTAGTTAACATTAATAGTAAGAATGCAAGCCCAAGCAAAGTGATGCTTTTTGAGTTGTTTAGATGTTCTTCTTACTCTCCTGCTTTCATGTCACAGAAATATAGGAGCAACGAGAGCAATGTATACATCAGGCAAACTGCAAAAAGTATTTTAATTGTACATCTTCTCATGTGTTAAATGTTAGTTAAAGTTTCTCTCAAGGTCTTCCATTTCTCCTTCTCCTTCCTTTAAGGTGGCACAATGGCTGAAGATACTAGAACCACTAAATTAAACTTTGAGTTCTGGCTGCAGAAGGCTCTTGAGTGGGGTCAGATCACCACTTCAGAATCTCAGCAAGATGTCTGCCTTCACTTGCCTGAATTACAGGAATTTCTACTGCAGATTTATGGAGCTTTGAAACATATGGTAAGTGAATTAACTGGAAGAATGAACTGTTTTGAAGACTGTTACAGAAACATTCTGCACCCCACATTTTGACAAGACAGAAAGTTAACAGTAGCAGAGAGCCTTGTAGTATTGACCTAATGTATTGCTGGATCACAGAAGTAAATTGGGGAAACAGCCACAGGTAATGCAAACAGGAATGTGTTTCCTGTGTTCTTGATTTATTGTGAAAGGAGCTTTTTCTTCTTGATTGGTTATGTTCTCACATGAGATTTCCTACCCAACACAGTAACCTTTTTAAAAAAGACTTTTTAAAATAAACAAGTATTTGATTCTGGTTTTCAGCTCATAAATTGGATTATTTAAAGACCCTTAGCATACAGAATTGTAACTGATGCCCTTGATCGTAAAGACTTCCCTGACATATTAACTCTACTGCTGTGACACAAAAGGCATTTCAGGACACTGCCATTGGATCATATGCAAATCATTCTGGTCGTATCTGTGCAGTTTTAGTATTGTTTGGTAATCATTTAAAAAAAGAGAAATGCCTACCATTGGGGTATTTTGTGTGTGCTAAAATTTACTTCATTGATAGACCATTTTGCCTGCATATTTAAGCTTAGAAATGTGTGTTTAAAAGGAGTAATTGTCTAGTGCAACATAAGCTAATGAATTAAAATTAATTAAAAGTTAATGATATATTTGTGAGACTCAAAAACTTTTCCTTGAAAGTGTCAGAAGGCAATGGATTCTATGCAAAACTTGGCCTCGGATGGACCTTTGTGTTTGGCCCCATTAAGTCTAGGGCAAGTCCCAAATGTGGGACAAATCTGAATAATTTATTACTGTAGTATATGATTACTATCCTTTTCTGCTACTTGCATATTATCTCAGTTTAGTACCATTTTAAACCCTTGGTTTATTAGACAGTAAAGTTTCAAAAATGGAAAAAATTGACTGCATAAGAATGTTTATAAACTGTACTATGTATTACTTTTATAGCAAAGCTGCTTTCCATTTGGTTAAATTTTGTTTAGGTTTTGTAGCTGTAGTGTCTGTTAAATTTCAGGTTGTAACTGCCTAAGTATGATGTCATGTAGAATATAGCAAGCAGTAACAAAACTTCAGGACTTTTGTACTGTAGTTATTGCAAGCCTGCCTGTAACCTATAACATGATGTAAGAGGGATGACATTTTGAATAATTTGTTATTTTTATTTATTTGGCTTAATCCATCCCGCCTTGAAAGCTAGGGAAAACAACCACACCACCTTGCATTACTTTTTATTTTCTTCATGGAACAACAATTAAAATTTCATCTTTTATTAGCCTCATCTTGGCCATCATAAGATGGACTAAGTAGAAAGGGTGATGCAGTGCTTATGAAAGGTGCTCAATCTATCATGAATAGTTCTTTTCAGTTGAAATGTAATTTCCTGTTATGAAGAAGGCACCAACCAATGTTTCCTGATGTTCTAAGGCAGGCCAAGCAGCACCATCCAGCCTTACACTGTGGCAGCCAAAGTGCTTGCAGTCCTCTTGTTCTTGGGCACTTTGAGAAGAAAAGGAAGCTGATAGAAACTGTGGTGATACATGGCTGGTGGGCTATATCTTAAATTGGTATACACACAGGGTACTCCTGATTAACTCCTGTATTTGAGTTAGGAAATGAATTTTGTACAGTCCAGTTGCAGGAGCAGGGTTCTGGATACAACTGTGACTGAGGTGCTCTCAATTTGTTTCCCAGTGTGTGGTAGGACTGGCCTTTCTAAGTTTCCATTTGTGGTCCACAATTTCCCTTTTTGTAGTGAATGTACTTTATTTGATTGATTGATTTATATCCTGTCTTTCTTTCTTTTAAAGAACTAAAAGCAGCTTACATTGGTCTCCTCCTCCTCTCAGTGAGGTAGGTTGGACTGAGAGTCTGTGACTGGCTGAGCAGGGACTAGAACCCAGATTGCCTAAGTCCTAGTCCCACACTCTTAACCACTATACCACACTGCCTGTCTATCATGTGTCATCTTTGCAGAAGCTCTAGTACCATCTGCAGCATTACTAGGGCTGAGACAACAGAAGTTACCCATGTTCTATGTGTTAACAAACAATATTTTTAAGACTCTTCTTTAATTTCAGAATTGTGCTGCTGCAGTCCGAGAGTTTCCATTAATTGGTCAACTGTTGGGAAGACTTTGTTGGAATCCATTTGTCACTGGCTATGGTGAGTCATTGAAATTGCTTTTGTACAATCAATGTAATTGAGCTTTATTAGTTATGCAGGTATGCACTAAAATAATAATTCTATAAAATATATATGGGATAACATGTTAAAATGCTTAATACATAGTTATCCAATTCACTTCAAGCTAAATTCCATTGAAATCAGAAAGATTAAGGTCCATTGTGAAGACAAATGTTATCTGGAACATAGGCAGCCGCCTTACAGGGTTAGACCATTGGTCTGTCTAGGTCAGTATTATCAACAACTTGCTGGCAGCAACTCTTCAGTCAGTGTTTCTCTTTCCAGCCCTGCCTGGAGTTACCAGTGATAGAACCAGGCAACTTCTGCACATGATGCGAGTGCTCCACCAGTAAGCTGTGGCTCCTTTCCCATTTTGCTGTCAAATACAGCTGTCAGCTGTCGTGAGAAATATTTTATGTATATGTTGAAATAAACAAAAAAGGAAACCTGAAAGAGACTGGTACTGTGAAATTCTACTTTGGACAATTAGCATCTTTGCTCTAGAACAAACTACAGTGGTCATGTTAATTCATAGTTTGAGATTATCTAAAACAAGTTTTAAAAATAATTATAAACAGAGGAGTGTCCATTAATTGAAAAAATTCAGTGATCTCTTACTTGTGTATTAATTATACCCTATTATATAAAATTAATAAAATGTTTCCCTTTGTAGATGAAATTTTGATCTGCTCAGAATTCATGTCAAGTTATGTGTGCAGTAGCCCTTTCTGCTTGTCCATATTTTCTATCCCGGTTACCCTTATCTATTTAGTTCTCCACCAAATTTATTCCATATAGACAAGCGAGTCTGATAGATTCTCAGTTATAGCTTTAAAATATGTTATTGGAATCCAAACATACACTAGCTTACAAAAATAAAGAAACAGGAAAAGAAGCAAATAAAATAGAAGAAGAAGACCTAAATGTTAATCCAGAAAGGACAATATCCTGTAAGGCCTGGCACTAATTAGAATTACATTGCACTAACATGAGAAACACCAAGAGCATTTGCTGGGGTGACACATTGTCTGGAGAAAGCTGGTGTGCCAGTAAATGTTAATGGAATTGTGTGAGAGGAAGATGGCACTAGCAGAGTGTAATTTACTTTAGCACCAGTGCTGAATAGGATATTGCTGTAAATCTGTAAAATCTAAGAATCTATTATAATAGATAATATTTTATTGAACATATATTGATTCCCCAATTGCAAGTGCAAAAAGCAAGAAATAGTGTGATAAACATGGAGCATAGCATATGATACATTTCATATCTGTTACATAGCATAAGCAGCCTGGATACGCTTAAGGGTTCTTTCCGGTTCTGTAAACATTCCAGGATAGGATGTTGGAGCCAGACATGTTCAACAGAAGTTTGTGAGCACCAGAGTCTGCATCTGGCTGCAAGAATATGAGTTGTTTAGAATTCTTCTTGGTGGTGGTATTGTATTTTGTAATAATAAATAATAATATTCAATAATAAATAATAAAACAGTTGCCTATGTCAGAGAAGGGCAGGGGAGAATTCAAAGGAGGTCTGCAAAGCAGCAGTTCTAACTATATTCTTCACAAATGGGCATTAACAATCTGCTGTGTCAGCAGCGATAAAAGTTTGTATTCAGCTGATGTCACTGTGCTGACAGAATGCTATTTGATCCTGTGGAGGATTCATTCAGCAGAACAGGGAGGAAACATTTGGATGGTTCCCCCTCCCCTTTGTGCCACCTCACTGCTGTTCCAAAGGTTCCCCCAACCCTTTGTAGCTCAGGTCCACAAGGAGAAAGGGTTGCTGGAAATTACTCTCCCTCTAATTCCACCAGGTTCAGTGTAGCAATACCAGTTCAGTGGAACCAAAACACTTTTTCCAGAGGCACTTTTTCCAGATTAGACATGCTGAAACCAAAATAATTATTTTATCTATATGCAGAAAAATGTGGTAGTATAAGCTAGCATACATACAGATCCACTAAAGGAAAGTTATAGGCAGATAGGAAGGTAGGGGAAACAGCAAGTTCAGAATTTTTCTCTCTCAGAGCTTGCGTATGAGAAATGTGGTGTGCATGTACCACATTATGTACAGCTGAACAGAAGGTTAATGAAGCTGTACTTCCATTATATTTCTGTAAAGTTATCTAAAAATAAAGATTTGCCTTGCAAAAAGGCAAGCATAGTAACTGAGAAACAGATCTATTATTTATACTGACTATCTTTAATCAAGCAAAACATACATTTTTCTATTCTGAATTTGCAATGCGTTATCTAACAGTTGACATTGCTTGATAGAAGCGTTGACTATGTGAAGCATTGTCAGCTTCTGTTAAATCTGAGGGCTTCCAAAGAATGGCCTCACATGGCCAATACAATCCATTACTCCTGGGTTTAAATTGTCTTTTATAACTGGAGAACGTGCTTATATTACAGATTCAAATTACTACTTTAAAATTGTGATGGCTTTTCCTCAAACGCTGGGAGTTGTGGTTGGTGGTCAATAATTTGGTGGTCAATAATTTTCTATCAAATAATTTTTTGCTTAATTCCCATCCCCTTTAGTTAGTTATTTATAAAATTTGTATGCCGTCCAATTACTTGCGTCTCTGGACGGCTTACAGCATAAATCAATTTATAGTGCTTTCTTTGTTGTAAACTATGTTAGTTAAAACAGGTTTGAAGTTGGATGTTACCTCACATGTGTTACATTAATGTGCCTGGAGTGTCAAAGGGACAGTTGGGAGCATTTCAGGAATCCCATATTTCAGTTTCAGGAGGAATCCTCTAGGAAACTCCATGTCCAGGTAGCTGCAAAAATATCCCGTGATGGCATCAGTCTAGTTCCCCATAAAAAATTACCAAGGGAAAATGATCCTTGTATCAGGAAAAAACAGAATTGTTAAGTAAATTAAGGGATCTGTTTATTTTAGTTATGTTTACTGCTTATCACAAACAATATACAGTACCAAAGTTTAAAGGGATATCTAGAATGTAACTGTATGCTACAAGAACTTGGAATACTGTTCTTAAATAGTGACAGGTAGATTTTGAATTTCTTGCAAGATTGGCTTCCTTTCTACATTATTGATATTTTATGCAAACTTATTTTATCAATAAAGTGAGGAAATGATAAAGAAGTTGCAAAAATAATTGGGTTGTATCCAGAAGGAGTTAGGCATGTGTTCTGTTAAAATCCTATTGGAATCAGCATGACACAAGCGTAAATAGGCTGCCTTTGGCTCCATCTTGTTGTATAAAATTGTGTCACTTTTCTATTGAAATATATGTACTAGAGAAAGAAAGGGCAAGAAGAAAGAGTACCTATTTGACTTTGAAATTATGTAATACAACAAAGCTAAGGATAAAAGGGGTTTTTGCTTTGCTTTTTGTTTTATTAACATGAGCAAAAGATTGCCCTTGCTCTGCTTTGATTTTTTTAAATATTCTTATTTGGATTGCTATCTGCAGATGAATGCCAGAAGATTCTAATGTGGTGCTTATGCTGTCTGTACAGTGGTGAACCACAGAGCCCTGTGGAATTGAAGGCCAACAGCTGGATACAAGTAAGCAAATGAATCCTCTCCCTGACTGCTTTAAATTAACATGATTATTTAAAGGTGCACCATCTACAGCATAGAGACAGTGTGTCATTTTTAGAAACCACTCTAGAGACATCCTGCATTCACATCGCATTGAAATGTGTTCTACTTTAATTAAAACATAATCTGTGCTGTCTCTCATTTTGAACATTAAAAAAAGATGTGGTGTTTAAACTGAAGTAATTTTAATAGCTTTTAATATAGTGGAGCCTAAACCCTGGCAGCATCCATTGAAGAACAAAGTCCACAAATCAACAAGCAAGAGAGGGCTATCAGAATAAATTTTCAATTAAAGAAAATAATGTAATATGGAGAGAGTCCATTGTTTGTTTTGAAAGCAATTTTTATATGTGCTATAATCTTGTCTTTGTTTTTGTTAATTTTTTCAAGCCTTGGGAAAAAGCAATTGTATCCAAGTTTTATTCAGAGACAGTGTGAGACAAGATTTGTGTGAAGTTTTATTATTATTTTTAGTTAGCTTTTAGTTAAATGGATCCATAATTGCCTGAATGCTACATTCTGAAATCTTTAATGTAGATCTGTTTAGCTGAGGGGTGTGTGTGTGTGTGTTTTAATCTTACACATTTACTCCTTAATCTTGCAGTGCTCATGCATATACTGCTGTGTTTCATGTAGATGATGAAATGCATATTTCTTTATAGTCTTCCCACAAAATATACTCAAATATGTACTGAAAAAAGTATAAACATAAATGTTAGCAACATTTCTGATTGGTTTCTTTGGAACCATCACCTGGGTGGGGTGGTCAAATCCTGGTTTCTTAAGACAAGCTATGGATGAGTTTAATGTGTCCATGTAACAGCCTTTTGCTGCAGTTTTGTTTCTCTCTTTGCTTGAATGATGAAACAAACTAGCAAGCTGCAGTTAAAGGTAGTCTTCTGTTATGTCCCAAATGGGAACTATGGTTAATGGCTCCTAAATGACCCAGGATTCTGAAGCCAGCTTAAAATTTGTAAGGAACCAAGTAGCAGCAAAAGGGCTTATGTATCAGGAAATGATTCTTGTATCTTAATACCTTTTTAAGTTAGGGTGAATGGTCCAAACACAGGTTGCACTGAAGTAAAGAGCTGGTTTGTACCTAACTGTAACCATGGTTTAGCTTTGCACTTGTACTTCCCCTTTTCCAGTGCTGCTGCAAGGAATAGTTTGGAAGCTTTTGCTTCTGTTTTACATTAACTACTCTTTGCCCTGTTATTTGAACCTGGCAAACTGTAGTTAATATGAAGTATGATTAGTGGAAAGAATACAACTTCAAACAATTGTCACTTGCAGACTCTTCTACCTTTGAACAGCCTTCCCAGCTGCTAGAAATATGGCTAATTGTGTCTTCCACTCCCTTCCATAACTCTTGAGTAGGATGAACTGAAGGTATTTGCATCACTTTCCAAAAGTTTGGAGAGTTCAGTAATGATGACAGTGGTAATTACTTGTATCATAAGCATTATGCTTTCTTGAGCTTTGCTTTAAATTATATAACCCAGTTTAGCCTGCCCTCAGAGACAGTCTGGCTTCTGGCAAGTTTGCTGTCACAAAACCATTTGATAATGTGACAAGTGGAACTGAGTAAGAAAGGCCAAAGAAGAATCTATAATATTATAGCTCAGTAGATTTCAAGCTGTGTTCTGGGTAGCATTCCTAGGAAGCTTATCAAGGTTTCCTCAGTGAAGGTTCTGCTAATGGTGACAAGTTACCCAAAAGACAGCTTGTCCAACATGACGCCTTCTTTTGTGATGTAGAGATGCAGACAAGTATTGGGTATGTTTCACGGTGCATGTTTAGTCTTTTCATGCAAGCCACAGGTTCTGTGTAGAAATTAGCCCTCCACAGGGAAATTTCTCCAGCATAAGACTAGTGGATAGGATCCAAAGGTGCTTACTGTATGTGTAAATAAACTTTTGCTCATGCAAGTTGTCTTCCTGAATTCTACCAATTTCACCATCCTGTTCTAGCACTATCTCCTGTCTTGCTCTAGGTCACTCATCCCTTAAGTATATTTTAAGGAAGGGTGCAGGCAACTCCAGTTATGGGAGAAATGGAATATTTTTATTGCTTATGTGGAAATCTGCTTGTACTTTTCCAGATGAGGTCTAAGCTCCTAAAATCTTTGAGGCAAGTCACAACTTTTAGTGGTCTTGAAAGAGGAACAAAACAACAACCCAGGGTCCTTTCATCTACCTTACAGATATAGTGAAGAAAGATAAAATATTCCACACACTGTTAACTCATGAAATGAACCATAAGCTGGTGAAACCACTCTGTTAGCAAAAGTGATAAAAATTTTCATGTTAATCATCACCTACCATGAATTAATGTTTTGAAACTATTCAACATGAGTTAAGCTGGTGCAAACATACACTGTTGTTCAGGCAAGCAAAGGGTTTTCTTTTGTTTCTTTTTTTTAAAGAACTCATTCAGCTTGTTCTTAAATTCGTATTTCAGAAGAAAAAAGTTCTGCAATAGGTTTAACCCATATTAGCCTTCTTTGTTCTCTTCAGTAAGTGTGCTTTGTTTTTGTTGTGTTTAAAATTAACACAGAAATATTTAGGTTTTATTTTGTTTACACAATTAATCTCTTTGAGCTGGGTGCATTAAATCAAACCTTTGTTGGAAAGCATAAAGGTCTTCAGTTTCTATAGCTATATTCAAATAAAGGTCCAAATTGTCCAACATTTAATAAGATGTGCATGGGATCGCTTGCTTCTTTGTGGTAGTAACTCATAAAAATAATATTAAATTTTAGAGTAATCAAAAATTCTCTGCTTGCTCACCTGGAACTATATGGCCTGGTATATTCTTTTCTTATTTTCTTTCCTACCAATCTGTACCATAGTTTGAGTATATTATTATTGAGTATATTATAACAATATATTATTGTTATATTAGTCCTATTTTGATCAAACATACATGCATCTATCTTCTGTATTATGCCAATATCTTTCAGTGACTTTGCCTTGGTATATGCCATACCAATAGTATGTTACTAGAGCACTTCTAATAGAAATTATTAGCGTATACTATCAGAATACTTTTTCCTAGTCAGATGTTTTGGATGTACATGTGTGGATTAACCAGCATGTTTGTGCATTATGTGCATTTTAGCATAGTATGCTTTGCCTTATTTTAGCACATTTGAGGCATACTATATTTTTCTATCACAGTAGTAATTGAGACAGTTTTAGTGAACTGAACTTTATGCTATTTTCATTTCATTCTGGAGTGTGCTCACATATTTTAGTAACTGCTGAAACCAATGATGCATAATATTGCTTCTTGCTTTGGTGGTTCTTGGAACATGACATGGTTCTAAAACACACATTGTCAAACTTTCAACCCCAAGGCCCAGTTAAGAGGGCTGAAAATAACTAAGCCAACTTATCACAAAAGGGAGAGTTTGGCATAACCAGCTGGCAATCATTGGTACCATTTTATATTGACATCAGATCCCTTTTTGAAAATGGCTAAAAAATCTGTCACAGCTGGATTCTGATAACACACTCGGGTTGACTGTGGGTTGATTGTGGGTTGTCCTGAAAACATGACTGTCATTGAATTGTGGGTTATGATGCTTTCTGAACCCAGCTGCGCTAAGAAGCCATAGATTAATAACCATCAGCAACTCACACTTCACAACACATCAATACACCATGGATTATTTGCAGTTAGTGTGGCCAAATTCAGACCTCACAATAACCCATAGTTCAATGAGAACCCACACTGAAGACTGGTGTGTGAGTTATTGTGTGGTCCAAACCCAGTTTATATATGCTGCATTAATAAATACCATTTTTGTGCTGCTGGCAATGCTCTGTACGTATTAGTCAGAATAGTTTCGTGTTTTTCAAGTTGGTCAATGAAGGAGGACTTGCTCCAACATGTGAAATTAATTAAAAGAAGACTGCAAATATAATAATTACAGCATGGAGTAGACTTCACTGACAGATACAGGAATGCAGAATTCACTTTAATCACAGTGCTTCCCCGAATGTGGGTGGCCACTGTGTGCAGAGAATAGTCAGTCCTTCTGTCTGCTACAACACTGTTTGTAACAGTACTCAAGTAAACACATTCCACAGGCCCCTTAAGCTTCTTCCTTTATGCAAACTTTTTTGATAGGTTACTTCCCTCTGCTTTATTTGGCTTACTTGTTTTTGCCAGTGGTAATTATATAGGGCATGATCTTTAGAGGGACTGTCTGTTTTGAAGTAATCCCTACACTAATCTATTAGAATTCTTCTTAATGAATGTGTTAACCCTTTCCTCAAACATCATGTATGACTGCTCGAAAAATCTAATGTAATTTCCTTTGCAGTCCAAGCAAATACTGGCAACCCATTTGAATAAGTGCTATTCAGTTATTTACCTTCTGTCTATCTTTTGACATGACTTTCCCCTCTGTGTTATGTTACTTGTAAATTCTTCAGTGTTTTGTTTGTTGGCAACAAATTACTGTACAATGCAATCCAATGCATATTTACTCAGTGGTAATAGCAGTATATTCACTGGGACTTATTCTCAGAAAATGGGTATATAGGATTGCAGCAACAGGAGTAGCACCCAGGAGGGCCTTCAGTGTAACCCCTATTGATGATGCACTTGGCTAAAGCAACATGACTAGCATGTCAGGAAAAAAGTAGAAGCCACCTGAGGAAATTCAGCAGTGTGGTAGCAAAAGGGACAGTTTTTCTTTTTAAAAAAGGTACACAAGGAAAGTGATTGTAACTGCTGGAAAATGGGTACATGGTGTCCTTCCACATCTCTGTTACCCTTCACCACAGATAGACAATTCTGTCAGCTATGGTTGTACTCATTGTTTTCAAATCTTAAGTTAATTCAGTCTATATACATTTGGTGCACATTTATTCATTTTGTATGCAATGTTGTCTTATATATAGTGTTATATATGTGTTTGGGTACCTTATTTTACTGCCTACTCATTTTGGCGC